TGCCTAGCACAGACACCTTGCCTGCTAGCCAGGAGGACTGCCTGTCCCTGGTGCCTGTCCCCCCTTCCCAGGATGTCACCCAGGGCTTGGACAAAGCCGGGGAAGGACCATCAGGTGATTTGTATTACTTTACCTGGACACACGTGGGGGGAGGCGGTGGGTGGTGAGGGGCTGCACACTCCTCACTCAGCCTTCTCAGCCTGGGGATAGCACAGTAGCCTGAGCATATGGCGCACCAGTCCAGAGCAAACAGCCCCAATGAGGCAGCCATTCTGGAACCTTGCGCTTCTGTTCACAGGGTTTCCGGAGATGCCTGCCTTACTCCCGACCCAGTGGTGGGACACCTTCCCACCACAAGCCACCAAGGAAGCTGGGGCACTGGACGCACACACACAACAGTGCCACACATGGCACATGTTCAAGCCCACACTTTTGGGGCAGCATGTGCTCCCAGGCAAGCATGGTGAGGCGGAGGACACCGAGCCCCTGCTAGCGGAGCCTACTGGGAGGGGAAGGAAGTAGAGGGGACCCCGGCAAGTGGCATCGACTGCTCTCACACACCTCCCACAATACCTTCCCCTGCTGTACTCCAGAGGGCAGGGATAGAAGTTCTTCTTCCTGAGGGAACCGGGCCTAGTGTGTGCACAGAACAGAGGGAACCCCAGCCACACTGAGATCCCCTTCCACCCATGGGATCCTGGTCTGGCCAGCACCTTCACATGCCTGCTTGTCCCTGGAGTGAAGGGGTAGCAAGGCTCCCCCCAGGACATCTGTGCCCCTGCAGGAAAGGGCCAACTGTCTAGACTAGTGGTCCCCAACACGATGCCCACAGGGCCATTTGTGTGCGCCCACCAAGTGCTCGGGGCTGGCCTGGCTCCGGGCATGTGGTGCATATATGGTGCCGGAGCCAGCCCGGACGCATGGTAAGCGCCGGCCCCGGGAGCGAGTACGCGGCTATGGGGGGGCCGCCCCCGGGCATGCATGTGTCCCCGCCCTCTGGCACCCGGCAGCCTCTAAAGGTTGGGGACCACTGGTCTAGACCAACTGCCTCGAAGCACATCGTCTTCATCTGTCCTGAGACCTTTCTGTGTCAGCTCAGAGATGAGGGTCAGGCTTCATGCACCCTGTCTCTTGGGATGACTGCCCTTTTCACTTCACAGCTGGACCAGCTGCAAATGGGGCGCAAGCCACATCTCCCGCATTAGCCTTGCAACCCCGTGAGATCCGCAGGTGAAGGTGCCCCCATGAAGACCTGGGGAGCACATTGCCTGCTTACCCAACGAGAAGACCTGCCTGCGTGCCCTGCAGTGGTCTCTGGTCCAGCATGACCGCAGACTGGCTGCTGACCTGAAGCTGCACCACAACACCTGTCGGGAGTTGTTGCAGCTGGCCCAGACTATGTGCATGGCTTACACCGGCACCATCAACTGCCTAGTGCCACTCCTGCTGCTGCTCCAGCTCCCACCCCAGCTCCTGTCCCTCTGGCTTGTCCCCCAGGCCTTCCCATGGCTGCCGAGGGCCCCACACACAAGGTGGTGGGACCACTTAGGGCAGGCGCCAGTCCCAACCCCACCCTTGAGTCTCTCTGCTCCCCTGTTCTCCCTTCCCATGTTCTTTCCCCAGTGCCCTCCCTAGTTACATTTACCCCAATTAAATAAAACAGGGTGGCTGTGTCCAGACTCAGGGTTTTTTTTCGAAAAAACTTCAGCTGCATTTAGATTGCAGCCGCATTCTTTCGAAATTAAATCGAAAGAACGCGGCTTTTCTTTCAACGGTGGTAAACCTCATTGCATCAGGAAGAACACCTTTTTCGACGGAGATCCATCGAAAATAAGTGAGTGTGGACGCGGGGAGGCCATTTTTTCGAAAATAATGGCCTCCAGGAAGAAGCCCTGGTGGACAATCTGGGGCATGCCTTGCATGTCTCTGGTTCCTGTCTGCAGCCATTTCTTAAAGGGACAGGCCCCCTCCCAGCCACTTGTGGCAGCAAAGCAGCCAGAGCACACAGCTGGTGAAGTGCAGCATGTCCCAGGTTCAAGACCCTCCTGGCCCTTCTAGAGACCCTTCTGGGGACCCAACCAGGGGCTCCAAACGCCGGGCACTGTCATGGTCTGGGCCAGAGCTCAAGACCCTTCTCGAGCTCTGGGAAGAGGAGGAGGCCTTACAAGCCCTAAAAAGCCGGCGGCGAAATGCGGACATTTATGGCCGCATGGCAGAGGCCCTGGCCCAGAAAGGACACTACCCC